TGGGTGGGTGGGGGGAGTGGATATCGGAGGAGGGGAGGATATGGGTGTGGAGCGGCGACTCCTGCGTTGGAGAAGAAACAAGGTTTCTTCTCCCCAGCCGACTCCTAGGTATTTTCCAACGACTCCTGCGAGACGAAAAAAAAATATCAAAAAAATTAAAGATCAAATTTGGGCGCCGACTACCGCCCTTTAGGCGGGCGACTCCCATTTTTTTTAATGAAAAAAAATAAAAAATATTTGGCTAAATTGGTACGACGACTCCCGCCCTTTAGGCGGGCGACTCCCATTTTTTTAATAAAAAAAATCAAAAAATCGCCATTGAAATTAGGACGACGACTTCCCTTTTTTTGGGGGGAATTGGAAGAATGACTCCCGTTTGACGACCTCCCGACCAAAACGGGAGTCGTCGACTAATTTTTAGGAGTCGTTTTTCCAAGCCCCTAAAAAAAAGAGACAGATCATCATTATTGGTGTTGTCGTTTGAGGAGATGAATAGTGGTTCTTGACACAGACCTCGAATAAGTCTTGTACACCTTCAAAGAATTGAGTGTATCGTTTGTTGAAGGCAGAGAATGATTCATCGGCTGCATGACCAGCAGAGTAAGCTGTTCCAAAAGTACAAAAACCAAACCAACGATAACCATTGTTAATAATTATTTTAATTTAAGTTTTGGAGTAGTGGATATGGGGGTTGGTTATACCTCATTGGATGGTAATCAAGCTTGACTGTCTGATGATCTTCTGAGATGAGCCGGTCGACTTGAGATTGAGACGAGGGATGGGATTGATGAGCGATCGACGGATCAGTAGTTGGGCAGGGAAGAACATCTTGATTGGAGGACTTCCCATCGGATCTGGGACCCTTGCAGTTTTCGATTTAGACCCAAAAAGTCTAGATTTTTGCAGGGAAATCTAGCTTTTTTGGCTCTAAATTGAAACTGGGAAACCCGCAGATTTCAACGGGAAGTCATCCATTGGAGGACTTCCCGTCGGATCTGGGACCCTCGCAGAAGTCGATCTAGACCGGAAAACTCTTAATTCTTGCAGAGAAATTTGAGTTTTGCGGCTCTAAACCGACTGATCTGGGAGACCCGCAGATGTCGACGTGAAGTCCTCCATTGGTGTGGGTTCAGCGGTCACTACAACCCTGACCAAATATCCAGTACTGGAAATCCTGTAAAAATGGGGATATTCTGTGGTCACACGTTTCTGTGATCTTATTTTTTTCCAGCAATTCATTTGCATTTTCTGTAACTTCTGTAACTTTTCTTTTAATTTAATGCAAAGTTACAGAAAAGTTAGAGAAGTTACAGAAAGTTTACAGAAAAGCTAAAGTAACTTCACCAAAGTTTCCTGTTTTTTTTCTGTGATTCATTTTGGGCATTCTGTAAATTTTTGGTAACTGTTCTTCAAGTTAACTGTAACTATTCTGTAACTTTTCAGTAATTTCAAGAAAATTTACTGAATTTATATGAAACACCAAGTAAATTACTGAAAAAAAAGAAACAGAAAGTATTGATTACAGCATATCCCCAATTTTTTACAGGATATCCAGTACTGGATATGTGGTCATGGGTGCAGTGGGCTGAGGTTTTTTTTCTTGTGAAGCTTTCTTTGATTGTTTTGGGAGGTTTTTGAGGAGAGCCTGTTTTGTGAAAGAAGATGACGGAGGCACTGTTCTTGGGTGTGGTTCGGTTCGGCTGATTTCGGTGTTCGATCTCATTGGTCAACAGCTGGCAGGCTCAAGTCAGCAAGCTTCTTGAGCGGAACAGCTGTGTGCGCATGAAATCGGATGATGAAACCCTAACCCTCATATTATGTAAGCAGCTCAAACTCAAAAGAACCCAAACGGCCAGCACGGCGCACGCTCAAAATTAAAACTGTTCAATTTTACACAAGAATCAGTGAAAGAAGTTGGCAGGTGCACAATCCGTTATGTAACAGACAGACATGCTGATTTCGTTTAAGAGGCTGATTCCTATACTTCATGGACCATTCAGATTTTGCTATCATTATTGGCATCCTCCTCAATCAAATTTCCTGTGAACAGTGGATTCCAGGGCAGTGATCTAAATCTGTCAGCTCTGGTCTCTTATGTTCCCAAGAGTTGATGGGATATTGGGTCACACTATAGCCAAAGAGTGGCCAGTGGAAATAAGCCCAACTCAACACTTGTAAAGTGGAGGGGCTAGCTCCTTATAAGAATAAAGGACAACTGTGGGATGAGCTTCACAGTGCCTGAGCTTTTGAGAATATAAGAGAAAAGGGTTGTTACTAGTCTATAAAGTTAAAGACTTAACTATATAGACTAGTGATAATAATAAGAGGAAAGTACACTAGTTAAACTAACAATAAACTACTTAAAACCCCACTCACTATTTATATGTATTATAGTAAGGTACTTGGGTTTGTATGGTAATAATTGTCTGGGGGATGAATCTCAGGGAAAGAGTCATCGCCTTAAATATTACAGAGCAGGGGTCAAGCTGCTGCTGGGACCGGTGCAGTCCCCTTATTGTTACACTATTCCTTTGGGGGAAAGTGTCAAGATATTCAAACATTCAAATGTACATGTGTCTCTTATTCCAGAAAATAGAATTACATATGTAGAATATCTCTCTTATTTCAGAAGATACACAAGAGAGATACACAGGATAATAATCACTTGGATAAACACAAGAAATGATTATCCTTTGCCATTTGATTATCACTTTCATGAGAGAGGTACAATCTCCTCCCAGATGTTTATGGCAGATGGATTACTTAATTAAAAAAAATATACTCATTCTTTATTTCCCATTTTTTGGGGAGTGGTAGATAGGGAGATGATAAAAAAGAGTATGAAACAACAGAATAGGAAAAGTCATTGCTTGACATTTTAAAAAAATAAAAGCAAAATTGAATTTTTTTTTTTTTAATAATTTTTTTAAAAATAAAACAAAACATGGAGAGTTTAGCTGAGATGCAGGAGATAATGATTATCAAATAAAAAATTAAAAAAAAAAAAATGAAAAATTAATGTTTTATTGGCCCATCAGAGGCCGGCTACCGCTGGATTCAAAGCCTTGTGCTCGGGACGAAGCGAGTCGGTCGTCAAGCTGGGACAAGGTTGATGCGCCTGGGCAAGGTTTCACTAGATTCAAATCCTCCAAAGCGAGTCGGTCACATCGATTGGGTTCCAGTGCAGGCATGAAAGTGACCGACGAGAAGATCAAGAATTTGCAGAGGATGGTGGTCAATTGGAAGATGTCCCCCTTGAGCTTGACAACCCAGTCTCGTGCGTTTGCGGCATGTTGTTTTCTTTGGTTTGCTCAGATTGGTTTGGCCAGGGGCATCGGGATGTTCTTGTCGAGCTGCTGGTTCCTTGGACTTCAGGAGATATGTACAGAGAGTCAGTTGCCGCGCAGGCTCAAGCGGACCTGTGACAGGTTTACCCCCAGAAATAAACATCTGGGAGGATACTGTACATTAATTATCCAGAGAGAGAGATAAACATTTACATAGGTAAATCATTATTGATTTAAAGAATAACATTGAATAAAGACTCATCAATTTAAAAAATACATATCATAATGTTTATTATTATGTAATATGGAGGGGTTACAATCTCATGTAGACACATGTACTAGTGTCTCAGTGTCTGACAAAATCTGAATCTGGAAGGTCTCATAAAGGTCTTGATAGGAGATCAATGGTCTATGACACTGTTCAAAATTCTGAATGGAAGCTTTCTATCCAAGTATGAGGTGACCTTCATAGTGCTAAAACACTAGAAGATGCTCATTTGCTTTTTCTTCTGAAACCATCTAAGCAGCAAGAAGTTCACAATTCCCTTGTACAATCTTAATCTTTTATGAAAGAAAAACTGGGGCTGAATTCTATTTATAATTAGACAATGGCCTGGGCTGCAGTAGAACAGTGTTTCCCAAATCTAATGTTCATGTATAATTGATCATATAGGGAGGGGGGGATGACAGCATCAGTTGTTTAGTACTGGAAAGAGATCAGGCATCAAAAAATTTACTCTGAATGAGAAATACCTGATCCAGGATAATGAAGGGAAGCTTGTTTATATGAATCAGGAGAAGTAAAATTTTCATGAGAGAGAAGAAGCATCACTCAAAATTCCAGGCAGGATTTGCTAGGGATATTGGAAGAAAATCAAGATTACTTCAAGTGCTGGAACAGTAATTCAAGTCCAGAAAAACATTCCATAGAATGGGATAAATAGATAAAACAGAAAATTCAAAAAGGCTCACTTGAATATACAAAATTGATATTTTAAGGTTTAAGTTTGTATAAAAGGAGCCTTTAAGAGTTATTGCAACAGTATTTCTATATATTTTCATTCCCAACAAAGAGGGAAATTGAGGAATTTTCTCTCCTTTTTCTGCAGATCAAACCATGGTTTGATGCATGTTGGATGGAAACAGTATCCACATTTTTTGACACAACTGATAGCTTCAAATTGAATATCTGGCTTGATATTATGCTTGAATCTCAGGAGTCCATCCTGATATTGAGAATTTGTTTTTAATTTGGGAGATTGAAATTCTGTTTGACAGATTGCACATTGACTCTGACTCTCAGCCACAAGGATAACTTTTGAAATTTTTTCAAGAGGTAGCTGATCTGAAGTTGAACTTTCTGAATCATCATTAAAACTCAAATGTGGCGGATCTTTGGAAGTCAGAACTTCTGGATCAGTCTTTGAACTTCCTGGATCAGTCTTTGAACTTGAAGCACCATGCACATAGTGAGGTTGTTTGAAAACTGTTATATCATCTTTGAGTATCTTCTGTGCTTTAGAAATTGAGAGGATGAGGTTGGGTTTCATTTTATGTGATAATCCTGAAGCGTACTTCTCGGGCATATATCCAACTGTTCTAGTTTTCTTTCTAAGATATTTTATCCCAGTGGCAAAAGCCAATCTTTTGAGCCAGTCTTGTATCCTGCTAGAAAATGATTGAGATTGCCTGATTTGAACTGGATTGATTTGATGTTCATTCAAATAATTATCATAAGCTACTCTATAATCATAGAGCTCAGCCTCTATATCAGTACTTGTGTGTGATAAATGGCTAGAGCTTAAGTTGACTCTGAGCCATCAATTATTGAGTTTGTTTGATCAAGATGGTCTGCAATATGGATTCCACCTTCTATGCTAGAATCCATTTTGGACTCTGAGGAACCCAGTGCTACCAGAGCACCAAAAATCTGAGCAAAAAAAACAATTAAAAGGGCCAATTTTTGAAATTAGAAATTTGGGATTCATTTATATAGTCAGAATTCAAGAAGACTCAACTAGACTCATGTGTGAAATATTCATTTTTGTTCAAGTTTTAGTAACTCTTCCTGAATAAACAGGGAAAAAAAAAATTCAACAACCCAAGTCAACACAGACTATAGAGCTCCACAATCACACCTCAGGAATGGCCATCACTGCATAACAAGGGGAGAGAAGAAAATACCCCCCCCCCCCACAAGAAAAGATAAAACTCACAGTGGATATCAAGACCAGGAGGAATTTCCAAAAATGTATTTATCAATCAGTAATCAGCAGATTATTTTTTCACCTTTCAAAGTGTTGTAGATTGGATGATACAAACTCTTAACATGATTTTTTTGCACAGATTTATTCCCTAAAACTCACAATTTGTCTGACAATTGATTTCTACTTGTCCCATGTCCCGAAAGTTTTTCATTTTATGTACAGTGTCCAAGTACAATTGTATTGTTTGATAGTCGTTGTGTGAGGATGTTATACATGGAGTCATTGTAACTCCCTGATGGATGAAAATATGTACCAGACATGTTTCCATGCTACACCCTGATCAAAAAATGGTCAATATCTTCACCAAAGTGGTCCAGTGATCCTAAATAGACAGACATTTTTCTCCAAACATTACCTCCCAACCCCTTCACAAAATGATTTTTCCCTCAAACATCTTATTTATTTTGATTGCTTTAATAAATGTGGGGGGAAGTAAACCTGCACTAGCAAGTCTAAAAAAATGCACACCAGAGAAGGCTGTGGGGAACGGGCTACTAGAATCTTACTTTGACTTGCCAGAATCACAGAACTCCAGAAAATTTGATTACTCCAAACCCAATGATCATTCTGCAAGGATTGATTGGTCAATATTCTTCAATTTTGGTTGGACAAAGCCAGACAAACTGGAGAGGTTCAGGCCAATAATATCAAACAATCAAGGTGAATATCTTGAGTGGCTTGCCCCAAATTTCTGTTCAACAAATTAAAATGATGATGCTTAATCAACTTGACTATTTTTTACAGTGGAGATTTCAGAGCTGAGCCAAGGATGGCTGGAGATTAGAGATTCAATTCAGGATTTCAAACGCAGGTGTAGCCCTGAGAATTATGAAATTTTTTACAAACTAAAGGATCTCCTACATTTCTTGAAGAGGCTGGCTCAGGTAAGGTTATATGGTCTGTATGGAGGTAAACCGTTAAGTCTTTGGGTTTGGGCACAGACCAAGAGTGATCCAGTTGGTAACAAAAAGACACCAATGGTAGATATACAACTACAGTCTCCTCAGGAAATAGAAAGCTCTACAAAAGATAAAGTGGCACAGGAGGGGAATAAAATATCATCAGGAACTGATTCCAGTTTGCATGAGTTGTTAATTAAACAAGACATAGTGAAACAAGAACAGATTGAATTACATGGCGACTTACTTCTTGATGTCAGAAAGAAGGCTTCAAAAGAATTTCCTGAGTATTGGGATAATTTAGAAACAAAGCTGGTCACATTTCAAATTGATGATGAATATAAAGATTATAAAAACAGTGAGATGTATTTGTTTGTGAAGGCAATGCTTCTTTCAGCAGAGTATATTACAAAGTTGAAATTGATTCCACAAAGCTACATTGATAATATAAAAATTTACAAGCCAGCAAATGTCATTCCATTGATCAAGTTTTATGCCTCAACAGTGGTGCATGATTCTACAAAGCATATGCAAAGTGATCATTGTAATTTTTATGCAGTGAAGCCCAATGAAATCAGTTGTCAAATTCATAGAAACTGTAGGCCCATCCAAAGAGCCATTGAAGGTATGGCTCCTTTTAGTTTTGTTTACTGATTTTTTATCAAGAAGATATTTTACTCACTAAATTTTATTCAAATGTAGAAAAACTTTCCATTGAAGATCAAAAGCTTGCTACTTACCAATTGAGTAAAGTTTTTGTTGAATCTGTTCTGCAATTAAAAAATTTGAATGAAAGATTGAGGAAAATTGGGGAAGGTTTTTGTTCAGAACACTTTTTTGATAATTTGAATATCTTGTCATCAATTTTGAGCAGTGATCAAAAGATCTATCAAGAGAAACAAGATTCTACTGGAGCTCATAAATTACAATATATTTGCAAAATAATTAAGGATGCTATTACCTACTTTGATAGCCCTCCAAAAGGCTCACTTGGAATTGTTGAGTCAATTGAGATTTACAGAATATTTTCCATTATTGATTTCATCAACAGTAAATATGAGCCATTAATATATTGGCTGAAGGCTGAAGCCTGAAGGAATGAAGAATCTGGTCCTCAACAAGAAAATAAAATATATTGATCATTTGGTAAAAAGATTTGCACATAGACCTCCTCGTGAATATAAGCAAGGTGAAATTAACTTGACAATTCAATACATGACAGAAATTGAAGATGATGGAATTGACATAAACAAATGGATCCAACATGTTGTAGAGCAGTTGATGAGGAAGAAAGATATATGATTCAATTACTTTCAAAAATATATTTATACATTATCATTCTTCTCTCAGAATTTCACTGCTCCCTGAATTGTCTTTCTGTCAGGAAATTTATTAACTGTTTCCTTGTTCATTCTATTTCACTCTCACATCACAATTTTGTTACTTTTTTCATAAGGCTCAGATATATCCCCATTTTTCTTGAAATATCAGAATTGAAATTCATTCATCCAACTCACAACTTCTCACTACAAGCAATACCCATTTTGCCCCAAAAATAAATGGCAATTTGGGTGGGGGAAAATGGATCAATTTTCTGGAATTTTTTTCCAAAATGCCTCAGGAGTAGAAATTAGGCTAAACTGAGCTATTTTAGCCCAGAGATAGAAATTCATCAAACATTCCAAAATGAATTTTTAGCTCATTTGAGACATTTTTATTTTTTGGCTAAAATAGCTCATTTTAGCCTAATTTTTTACTCCTGAGGCATCTTGTAAAAAAAGTGCCAGAAAATTGATCTATTTTCCACCATCCAAATTGCCATTT